CTGCATTTCATAAGGCTCGCGAAAGCATGCGATTGGAGAAGTGATGCGCCTCGTGACCTCGTTACCCGAAATGTCAGGCTTGCATTTTCCGAGTAAACTGTGCAGTCAGTTTTGTCGCCTGCACAACTAAAACAGTCGGAACTGCAACTAAGAAGATTTGAAAAGCATTGCTTGTTAGAGCGGAGCTTACATTGACAAAGTAGAACTCTTGATATTTTGCAGAATTGCCTGTTTCTGGAATCGTTTTCTGTTTGAAACTGGTGTATTTTCAGCGAAAAGTACGCATCAATATGTTGGAAACGCATGCAAGTAATCCACAGCATATCAAGAAATGCCCGTTAATGGTGATTTTTTTGCTTTTAGTGACTAGGATTGTATTTCAGAAAAACGAAAAACACGTTTTGCTGCATGCGTGTTTTTTCAACTCCTAGGCATGTGTGCAGAAGGAAGAGGTGCATCATTTTAAAAGTCCGTAATGAAAGCCAGCATGATTTTTGTGGTAAAACTGTGCCGGTGCATTACACAAAACTATGGTCCCGCAATTATACTATTTGTCATACCCGCTGTTTAAGAGCAGTACCATCGGCCTCATGCTCTTCTTATGCATAGCAGAGAGTTAAGGTGCTAATAATTTTCTGTGTTTAAGAGCGGGACAGACAAGTACATACAACGGACTGTGTGATTCATAACTTGTCAGCTTATTAAAGCTTTGCTTGATTTGCTTCCACGCAACACGTTTTTGTTTTTTTTTTTTTCAGCTGCTTTTTGTTGTACCAACATTTTACAAGGAAGAAGATAGGCTTGCCGATGCTTCCAATCCGCAGATCTTCTGCGCTACGTTGCAAAATTTGAATGGATCAATTGTCAAATTGCTCCCTTTTCAACCTCTGTATGATATTTCCCATTTTATTGTCAGTGTTTTCTTTTACCTAGATATTTCGAAGTATGCGTCTGAGAGCATTTCATTCTTTTCGCCAGGTTGGACATGCACATGCTCAGTTAACTTATTTTTATCATATTTTTAGCTTGAGTAGCTCAAATTGGAGTGTCGGAATTCGATCGGCATTGGAAAAGCCGCATAATGGATATTTTTATGTATATAAACTGCCTGATGGTATTGAAGTCGGTATGTTATCTGCATAATTCCGCCTGCAACTGTTTGAACACTACGTTCTTTACTATGCGTTTTTTGCATCTAGGCAATGCAGAAAACGCATATGGACGAGAGGTTGTCTGTGTGTGTATGCGTGCGTTTGTTCGTCTGTGCCAATTTTTCATCTCGAGGCCTACAAGAGCTACAAGGCTGAAACTTTGGGAGCTTAATCTACATGCATGTACGGGCCCCCTTCCTCAAAATGGGCACTGTTACTCGTGTGGTATCCACGTACGGGCCCACCAAAGTTTTTTACGGGTAAGCTGCTAATTCGGGAACCATAGGAGCTGGAAAGCTGAAATTTCAAGGGTGCGTTCCCCGTCCACGTAGATCTTAACGAGTTCAAACCCAGCCCTCGTGTGTGCGTGGTACCTAAGTACGGGTCCGCCAAATTTTGTTTTCGGCTATGTTGCTGTCTCAGGAGCCTGGAAAGCTAGAAAACTGGAATTTTTAGGGGATGTTCCCCGTCTACATAAGTCTCAAGGAGCTCAAATCCAGTCCCCAGGTATGCTTGGTTCCGGCCAACGAAAGTTTTTTGCGGGTAAGTTGCTAACTCGGGAACCACGAAAGCTAGAAAGCTGAAATTTTAAAGGAATGTTTCCTGACAGTCCTGGCCACTAGTCTCAATTCCTTTAGCTAGAAGCATCTGCCGGAAAAAACATTGCGGCTAGCGACAAAAATCTGCGGGGAACTGTGCAAAAAACGCACCTCGCACCGGCAGTCAGTGCGCTGGCCATTTATATTTTCTTTCAGTAGCTAACGTTTTTTCGTTTCTGTACTTATTGTCTATATTGTTTTCCAATTTCTGTTCGCGTTTAAGCTCGCTACCAAACTTCTGTTGTTGGATTGTTTATTCATTTTGCACTACAGCTTCAGGTGCAGGACGTAGGATGTCGAGATTCTACCTATTTATGTGTGTGTGTGTGTGTGCGTGCGTGCGTGCGCGTGCGTGCGTGCGCGTGTGTGTGGCCGGAACTCAGTAACTGAAAAAGCCAAGAAGCTGAAACTTTAAAAGGATGCTTTCTACCCATGTGCAGTCCTGGAAATTTGAGTCCAGCTCTCTCGTACGCTTAGGTTTGGGCATGTGGAAACTTTAGTAAACAATTTCCTAACCCAGGAGCCAGATAAGAAGCTGAAGTTGTAGAAAAATGTTTTGTGCCTATGTGCACTCCTGCGCCTCACTTACATCTGTAGTTTAACGTTAAGGTATTTCTAGCTTAGTAAGCAGAGATGACAGAAACTGAAATTTTAACATGGCGTCTCGTGTCTCGGAATTCGAAATTTGAGCACAATTTTAATTTACGCATAATTCTTGCACACCAACATACGAAAGTTTCGGGAGAAAATTTTTGAGTTAAAAACCAGATAAGTTAGAAAACTGAAGTTGTAATGGAGTCTTTCTTGTCAGAAAATTAAAATTGTGCTTCTATGTAGGATTATGCCTCACTTATAGACAGTATAATTTCAAGATGGGAAATGTTCGCATCTTTCTAGCTTGCGAAACAGATAAGGTGAAAAGTTGAAATATCAGGATGTTTCCTTCCTCTCTCCTCACAAAATTTTTAATTTAACTTTCATGTGCTCCTGCATTTTACATACGGACGTGTGCAAGTTCAGGCGAGAAATTTTTTAGCTCGAGAACGAGGTCTAGTTCGTTGCCACTCCACACAGCGCTGAGGGTGTGATCAGAATTATTTAGGGTGAATGTGCATTTGCTTGTAAATGTCTAGCACTTTTAAGTGCCGTGTCCTTTGCAGATACCTATACGCTTCACTTAACGGTAAATTTGGAGGAGGTGCGCTTGGATGCTTCACACATTGCTCTCGCGATACAAGCGTTTGCGTGTGGTCCACCGGATCTGCGTCACTATAACGAATTGCGAGGACTAGCCACTTTAACTAATAAATCTAAGTTGGACTGAGTTTCCGAGAAGCACACCCCAGCTGCAGTTCACTTAATTTGCAATGAAAGAGTGCATCGCCTCTGTAAAATACGCTTCTGTGTTTTTGTAGTGACATATTAGCAACACGCTTGTTTTTGGTATTTTCAGTGTCTCACTGCATGTAGGTTGCCTTTGCGGTAAAGGATGTTGGTAATTTGTGTTTGCAAAAAAAAAGACGCTCAGAAATTAAAATTAAAACGTTGCAATGAAAAATTCGCTTCTGGAGTTTGTTATTTTCTGTTGTTCAGTGCGGTGCTTTATTGGCTAGAGCATCACTAGCGCAAAGGAATATGCGTTTCATAGTTGACCTATAAATAAAGTTCTGGAAGATCATTAAGTGCCAGTGTGATTTAGTGATATATTTATTCATCTTTCTGAAAACATCAGCTGTACTTCAATATTAATTCATTGTCAAAATAGCCTCTACGGTCAGTATTTTTCCGCCCTCAGCCGGCACACTTATTTGTTTTTCTGCATGATTTAAGTTTCGGCTTTGATTTTGATGCTTTTGCGTTTTTTAACTGCATTTTGCTTCGCAGTTGTTTAAATTTGATTTTTCGTTTGGCATAGTTTGGTTGCTTGTGGTTGAAAGGATTTTTGCTTTTTCTTACGCGGACGTTTTTTTTGTGATCCAAAAAACCCGGGATCAATTCAGGGTGCCTTTGTCCCCTTTCCTTTCTTTGCTCAAGCCAGTGATTTATGTTTACTCATGCTTTCTTGTTTTTATTTGTTCCTGAAAGCAGCTCCTTATTTAACTGTGGTTTAGTGGATCTTTGAAACTGCTTTGTAGAGCTTTTAGTTCATTCCTTGACTATGGAAATCAGTGTCTTCGAGGATGATGTATTCTGACGGTGATGGTCGTCTTAATTGAATTGGTTTGTTCATTTCCTATGCGCCATTCCTTCTCCTAAGTACGAATAAGCGAATTTCTGGTTTTCATATGTGCTCTTTCGAGCTCTGCA